ACTGGGACAGGAATTGGCAAAGTTTTGTAATAGTTGCCAAGATGACTGGGATGTCTTACTACCTCCACTGCTGATGGCTTATAGGACAGCAGAGCATGAAGCCACTGGATACACTCCAGCAAAGTTGATGTTTGGTCAGGAACTTCGGTTATCAGTGGATCTGTTAACAGGACTCCCACCTTATGAAGAATTTCCTGAAAATGTGTCAGAGTTTGTGAAAGTGTTATCGGAAAGGATGAATGATATTCACCATCAAGTGTGCTCAAACTTGAAAACGTCTGCTGATTCGATGAAGTTATCTTATGATAAGAGATCTACTGAAGTTAGCTTTGTACCAGGAGACAAGGTGTGGCTGTATAATCCCAGGAAGACCAAAGGGAAGTCTCTTAAGTTGTCTTCTCCATGGGAAGGTCCATATGACATAGTGGATCGTCTCTCAGACGTGACTTTCTGGATAAAATGTGGTCGGCGAGGTAAGCCAAAAGTAGTGCATGCCAACAGGCTTTGGCATTATCATGGTCCAGGACATTTCAGTTGGGATGAATTGAACAATGGAACAAATGATGCTGCTGAATACGTGTCACCTGAAAAAGCCACTGTCGAAGAAGAAACTCTATTCGGTTTTGAGAAGGGAAACAGTGAAGCCCTTGATGAGGTTACTATTACTGATGTGACTGTTACCAATGATAGGACGTTTCCTGATTAAGCAGATGAACCCCACATGAAGAAGAAGCCAACGAGACAGAGACCAGTGCGGAAGAAGATACGTCCCGAAAAATTAAAAGACTTTGTTGAATTTTAATTTTTTGTTTGTAAATTCTGTACATTTAATTAAGATATTGTTAATTGTTTATTAGTTTAATGTAAGTGGCTATTGTTTGGGACGAACAATACTAAGGGAGGGGCAGTGTTACGACAGTGGGGGGTCACGTGACGAGTATTCTAGAAGATTCGCTAGTGTGTTACGACAGCGGGGTCACGTGACGAATATTCTAGAAGATTCGCTAGTGTAGTGCGACAGCGGGAGTCAATTGACGCTGGTAGCACGTGTTGAGAGTCTTAGAAGTTTCTAGAACAGGCAGTATTATCGTATATAAGTGCGCTAGACAGTGAGAGAGACAGACGGAGTCGAAGCAGTTGTGGAGACAGAGACTGAGGCAGAGACGAAGCAGGCAGAGAGAAAGAAAGACAACGATTACGG